AAAAAAAACAACTGGAACAAAGCTTTCTTGATTAGAAAACTTGTAAACCTGAAATATAAAGAAGATGGTTCTATTGTTGAGTATTTAAATGAAATATATAGTATTACTAACCAATTATCCTCTATGAAAATGTCTCTTGATGATGAGTTGCAAGCATTGTTACTTCTCAGTTCATTGTTAGAAAGTTGGGAGATACTAGTGGTTTCCCTCAGTAATTCTATGCCAAATGGTGTTATCACCATGTCAAGTAACAAGCAGTTTATTGAATGAGTACTTGAGAAGAAAGAATTTACCAACATCTTAAAATGATTCACAAGTACTTATCCGTTTATTGAATGAGTACTTGAGAAGAAAGAATTCACCAACATTTCAAAATGATTCACAAGTATTTATGTCAGAGAACAAAGGAATGTCAAAGTCCAAGGATAGAAGTTGTTCACGCATGGATAGAAACAAGTCAAGATCAAGAAAAGATATTGTTTGCTATAATTGTGGTGAGAAATGACATTATAACAACCAATGCAAGTAATCTAAGAAAAGTAAAAAAAAGAAAAAAGAAGTAGAGTCTACAGAGTTAATAGATAATACTACAACTATAATGCAGGGTGGTGATTATTTAATTTTATCTCATTCTAATGATATTTTCTCTTTTGTGTGTCAAGATCTTGAGTGGGTGATTGACATAGGTGCTTGTTATCATACTACACCACGGAGGGAGTTTTTTGCTACCTACATGTTTAGAAATTTTTGTGTTGTCAAAATGGGCAACCATGGCACAACATACATCATTGGCATGGGTGATATCCATGTAAAGATCAACCTTAGCTGCAAGTTAGTGCTTAAGGATATGAGGCATGTGATTGACTTAAAGTTGAATTTAATTTCAATTGGAAGACTAGATGATGAAGACTATAATAGCATATTTCACAGAGGGTAATGAAAGCTCAATAAAGGTTATCATAGCTAGTGGAAAAAAATGTCACACCTTATATATGTTGTAGGCTAAAGCTTATGGTGAGTAACTGAATGCTACAAAGAAAGACTTCAACATGGAGTTGTAGCATAGATGACTAGGAGACATGAGCGAGAAAGGGTTGCAAGTTCTTTCAAAGAGAGAGGTATTGTCAGACCTCATAGGTATACATATGAACTCTTGTATTGATTGTTTGATTGGTAAACAACATAGAGTTTCATTTACTAGTCATGTTTTATCTAAAAAATATATATCTTAGACCGTGTTTATACAGATATATGTGGTCGATAAAAACTCTTGGTGGCTCTGTTAATGTTCTTGGCATCAATGGTGTACTTTATTTTATCACTTTTATAGATGATTTTTCCAGAAAAGTTTATGCCTATGCTATGAAGATCAAAGATCAGGTTATTAATACCTTCAAAGAGTTTCATGCCAAAGCTAAAAGAGAGACAAAAAGATAATTTAAATACATAAGATCAGATAACGATGGTGACTATATAGGATTGTTTAATAATTATTGCAGGTCACATGACATCCAACATAAGATGACAATTCCTAGTATATCTCAGTATAATGCTATTGCAGAGATGATGAACCACACCATCATGGAAAAGATCATATGTATACTTTCACAGGCCAAGCTACCCAAAAAGTTTTGGGATAAAGCTTTGAGGACTGTAGTTGATGTGATCAACTTATCACCCTATACAACCCTAGATGGTGATGTTGCAAAGTATGTATGATCAGAGAAAAATATTTCCTACAAGCATTTGAGAGTGCTTAGTTATCATGCATTTGCACATATTTCAGACAATAAGAGTTCCAAGTTGGATGGTAAGACTAAAGAATGTATTTTTCTTGATTACTCACATGATCAATTTGGTTACAAGCTTTGGGATCTAAAAAAGCAAAATGTGTTTAAAAGTAGAGATGTGGTCTTCTTTGATGATCAAATCTTTGAGGATTTGAAGAAGAAGGCACCAACCAAGACTTCTACAGAAGGATTAGAAAATTATGACCCAGTTATTCCTCCAATACATCAGGGTGATGGGGAAGATATGTAGGAAGACAATGTAGAGCCTGATGTTGATGTACTTGTAGGACATATTGAGCAAGAAGAAATTGGGAAGCAACATCCCGTAGAACCTCAGTTGAGAAGATCTTCTAGACAACGTCAACCTTCTAGAAGATACTCTATAGATGAGTATGTGATGTTTATAGATGTAGATGAACCAGAGAGTTACCAGGAAGTAATTGAAAGTGAGTCGAAAAAGAAGTGGTTAGTTGTTATGCAGGAAGAGATAGATGCTCTGCAAAAGAACTACACTTATAATTTAGTGCAACTAACAAAGGGAATGAAGACCTTGAAGAACAAGTGAGTTTTCATATTGAAGACTTAAGAATATTGTTTTCAACTAAAGTACAAAGCTAGATTGGTTGTGCAAGGCTTTGGTCAGAGAAAAAATATTAACTTTGAAGAGATTTTTTTATGTTGTTAAAATATCTTCTATTCGTATTGTTCTTGGTATTGCTATTAGCATGGACTTAGAGGTCGAGTAGTTAGATTTGAAGACAACTTTCCTTTATGATGATTTGGAGGAGAAAATTCATATGGAGCAAATAGAATGTTTTAAAGTTAAAGGTAAATAAAACTTTATCTACAAGTTGAGAAAGAGCTTATATGAGTTGAAGCAAGCTCCAAGACAAGAAAGTTTAATTCATTTATGATTGAAAATAGATATAAAAGAATGGTTTTAAATCACTGTGTGTACATCAAATAGTTTGGTGAGGATTTTATTATTCTCTTACTTTATATTGACGACTTGCTTATATTTGGAAAAGATATGTCTACAATTGACAGGTTAAAGAAGGAACTGAGTGAGTCTTTTGCAATAAAGGACATGGGCCAACAAAGCAAATACTGGGCATACAAATTTTTCGTGATAGAGAAAACTAGAAGATTTGATTGTCATAGGAGAAATACATCGAGAATATATTAGAAAGATTCAATATAAGTATTGCAAAGCTAGTTAGTTCTCCTCTTGTAAGTCACTTCAAGTTGTGCTCAGAACAGAGTTCGTCAAGTGATAAGAAAGAAAAATGCAAAAGATTTCTTATGCTTCAGCAGTTAAAAGTTTAATGTATGCAATGGTATATACGAGGTCGGACATCGCATATGTAGTGGGTATAACTAATAGATTTCTTCAAAATCTGGGCAAATAACATTGAGCGACAGTGAAGTTGATCCTTAGATATCTCAGAGGAAACTCTAAAGTTTGTTTAAGCTTTGGAGATGGACTACCTATATTGACAAGTTATAAGATATGACAAGAGATATAGATACAAGGAAATCCACATCAGGTTTTGTACTTACTTTTGCAAGGGGAGCTATGTCATGGCAATCCAGATTGCAAAGGTGTATTGCTCTCTCCACCATAGAGGTAAAATATATTGTTGCTACGGAGATTTACAAAAAAATATTATGGATGAAAAAATTCTTACAAGAATTGGGATTGAAATAGGAAAACTATATGGTGAATTATGATAACCAAAGTGGCATCCATTTGTGTAAGAATTCAACTTTTTATTGTAAGTCAAAGCATATAGATGTCAGATACTACTAGATTCGAAATGTACTTAAAAAGAAACAGTTACAACTTTAGAAAATTTATACAGATGATAATGGAGCAGACATGTTGACAAAGACCTTACCAAAAGAAAGGCAGGAGATGTGCCGACAATTGGTCGGCATGGTTTTACGTTGAAGAGTAATGAGACAACCTCTCTTATGGGTTGAAGGGGGAGGTTGTTGAGCTGACAGCCCATGAGTTTAGCCCATAGCCCACCTCTCCTTTTAACCTAAATCTAGACTTAATGAGGGGGGGTGTGGTGTCTACGAAAAAGAGGTAGAAAACTATAGTAATAAGGGCAGAAAACTGCAACAGCAATGTAATTCAAAAAGAAGAGAAAATGATAGAAAAATAAGAGAATGAAAGAGAAAAAGATAAGGATAACGCAGAAAAACTGTTCTCAATCATTTAGGCAGTATTCTCATCTCAATTAGATCAGATCTATAGTAGATTCTTACTGTAATTACTTGGGGAGATTTTATATATTATAGCTAGAGTCCTAACAGAACGGTGATGTAATCATTGTATCTCAGTTATTCTCTTGTGATTGTTGTTTGGGTAAAAGATTCTGATATTTATATATTCATTATTTTTATAGTGAATTTTTTCTGATTTATCCTATCATTTTTACTCTTCATATTGGAGAGATTTTTTACGTAAATTTTAATGTTTTATTTGATTATGATTTCATTTAATCCACTGTATATTACAACCTACTTATATTTATTCGTATACAAAATTGATACTCTCTTTTTATCTCATCGCTGAATACCTACAATGAAAAGGAGTAGCCAGCTATTTGCTAATCTTACTACGCGCCTCACAAATCAGAGGTGACTGTTGTGCTAATCTCATGCTGCGCCTCACAAATCAGAGGTGACTGTTGCTGTGTTGTCCCTCTTTGCCTCATGAGGTGAGTCCACCAAAATCCAAACATGCACGCGACCACAATGGCTGCTCTCTCAGTTCCAGCTAGATGAAAGCTCCACTCGCCACATGAATTGTCCTTCCTTGTCTGTACCGTTCCCATTTATTTGTGCTCAAAGCACATCACCTTCTCCTGCATCTTGTGTCTTAGAGAGTTCAGCTATGCTGAGCCCAAAGAAGCTTATCAAGATGGTGAGGAAGTGGCAGAAGGTGGCTGGTTTGGGCAGGACCAGGAGAAGGATCATGACAGGGAAACCTGACGACAGTGCTGCTGCAGTGGCAGAGTCATGCAGTGCTCCTCTGGTTGCGAGCAGAGGTCATGTCTTCGTGTACACGGCCGATGGCAAGCGCTTCATGGTCCCCTTGAAGTACCTAAGCAGCAGTATCCTCAGGGAGCTGTTGAGGATGTCGGAGGAAGAGTTCGGGTTGCCAACCGACGGCCCGATAACATTGGCTTGCGAAGCTGCTTCCATGGACTACATCATTGCCTTGCTCCGAGGGGGAATCACGAGCGACGTGGAGAAAGCCGTGCTTGCCTCCATCGCCGGTCGTCGGTGCACGGTCTCTGCGGTTCCACGGGAACCCCATCAACACTTGATCCTCTACGGCTTCTGAGGCAGATCTTACTTTGTTAATCGTACTTTATCAAGTCGAGCTGAACTGAGTAAAATCAATGTATATAATCTTGATTTGTTAATAAAAAGATCTTTTTTTTTAGAAAAGATAAGTAATGAAGAAGAATTGATATTGAGATTAATATGTTTTTTATGATTCTTAAAGTTTATGTTTTAGAAGGAAGCATAGTATCAGAATAAGTTCTCCTGAGTAAAGAAACCCTTAAAAATACTTTGGGTGTTTTTAAGTTTTTCTCTAAGGTGTTATGTTTGTAGTTGGGATTGTTTAAGGCGTTGGACACTCATAATAAAAATAAAAATAAACGAGATCATAAGTAATCCAAAATAATTATTTTTTTTAAGCATAAGCCTCTCAAAAATAGTTTAAGTGATCATAGACAAAGGGGATTCCGAGGATAAGTGTAGACTTAATGTTCACCTAACACGAACAAAAAATAAATACACTAAAGATATTACAACATCTCTCATATTATTTGCCTTAATACTTCTGTTTTCTAAAAAAATTATTTTGATCATGGAAAGATATAATATAATCTCCATATATAACATCCGTCGTTATGTTGTAGGGCTCGAATGTCAATTCTATTATCTTTATGTTCTTGATAATAATGTTGACTCATTGAGTCTTATCTAGTACTATAACATATACTTTTTGAATTCATAACTCTTATCTCTATATACGACGAGCGCTTGGAGTGCCGGAAAATGAAGCTCCCGGCTATCTTTAGCTTGGGGTCACTGTTGGGCAGCCTCGCGCAACAGTGTGGACCGGCGGCTCGGGAGAAGACGTGCCTCGACGGGCTTTGCTGCAGCCAGTATGGCTATTGCGGGAGCACTTTCGCGTACTTCAATGACTCCGTGTATCAGCGCTGATCGCAGGCAGCGGGAGGGGTGTGCCCCGCCTGGCAGTGCTGCAGCCAACATGGGTATTGTGGAAACACTTCGGACTACTGTGGCACTGCGGCTCCGGTTGCCAGAGCCAGTGCGACGGTGGCTCCGGCAGTGGTGACTCCGACGCGCAGTGCGGATCGCAGGCAGCGGGAGCGGTGTGCCCCGACGGACAGTGCTGCAGCCAGTACGGCTACTGCGGAACTACGTCGGACTACTGCGGTTCCGGCTGCCAGAGCCAATGCCCCAACCCATTCGTCAGATATCGTGATAACTGTACTCTTTCTCTCTCTCTCTCTCTCTCTCTCTCTCTAAATATTGTGAATCCTCGTGCTCTTGTATAGATAAATAATGATCGATAATCATATTACCCATATGTAATTCCCTTGTTCTTTATCTAGATTTTACCTGAAAACTCTAATGCTCTATCAATTTCAGATGGATCAAAAAGTATCACTAAGAAAATTTTCATGTCATGCAGGTGTCTCACAAAAATCCACAACATGGACACACAGAGTTTGCATCCATCTCAATTTCAGTGATGCTCTGTGGGTGAAACTGCTTGGGTGCATGGAGCAGTCTATGCACGGATCATTGTTCAATTTGCTTTCGTGTAACTCCATCTTTTTCCGTACGCTACGGAGTGTTTGTTTTATTGTAATATGAAGGCTCAGCCATCGTCATCTGGTCTGGCTTTTTCCGATAAGGATTCGACCTAGTTATTCACTATCATCACGTAAGATGTATGGTGAGAAACCATGAAAGTGCATAATTGATCGAGTAAATCATCAAGATATGTTTCATTGAAGTTTATTGATATGTTCTTCCGATTTATACAGTTTAGGAGGAAAGATTTTCCTCACCAGAGCAGCAAGATTTTTTCATATAGTTGGAGAAATCTTAGCTGTTATCATGCCCCTGCAAGATGGTGCTTCTATCAAGGATGTTGATCTTGGATCGATGTAATAAAAATAGTTTATGAGTGAGAGGCCTCGTGAGTGACTCTGTTAGTTGATCGGCCATATATGCATGAGAAACACGTAGTTGATGTCGAACAATTTAATCTCGCATGAAGTGAAAGTCGATGATAATATGTTTCATGCGTGAGTGGAACACTGGATTAGCGCACATGTAAGTATCTCTGACATTATCACAATATATTATAAAAGTAGAGGTGGAGTTGATGTCAAGTTCTTTGAGCAGATTTGTGACCTAATTGAGTTCTGCAGCGGTAGTGGCGATGTCATGATATTCGGCTTTAGTTGTAGATCGTGCGATTATCTTTTGCTTCTTAAAACTCCAATTGATTGATTAGCTCCAAAGAAGATAATATACCCTGACATGGATATTCTATCATTAAAGTTTCATGCCCAATCAGTATCGACGAAGGCATGAAGATAAAGTAGGGAGTTTTACGAAAAAAGAAGCCATCAATGAAGGTTCCGTTAAGATATTGCAAGATCCATTTGATTATAGACCAATACGTAGTAGATAGCCGATGCATGAATTGTGATAATTTATTGACTGCAAATGAGATGTTTGGACGGATAAGAGGTAAGTACTGTAAAGAGCAAAGTACTTGTTGGTATTGAGTAGGGTCCGGAGCAAGGTTTCCATCATATACTTAGAATGATTCACTAGTAGAGAGAGGAGTTATAATCGCTTTTGCATCCTGCATGTTCATCTTTGATAACAAATCCTAAATATTTTTTTTTTTGTGATAGGAAGATTCCTGAAGACGTATATGTTGCTTCTACTCCCAGAAAGTAGCTCAAGATTCTTAGATCTTGGAGGGAGAATCGATCAGTCAAATACTTAAGGAATGTCTTGATCTCTATAGGATTATTACCCTTGAAAATAATATTATCCACATATACCAAAAGATATATTGTATCATCATTTTGTTGACGGAGAAATAACAATGTATCAGACTTGGAGTTGATGAAGCCAGTTGATATAAAAAATGAGCCAAGTTCGATGTACCAGGCTCTTGAAGTTTGATGAAGTCCATAAATAGATTTTTATAGTTTACAAATATACGTTAGATACTGACGATGGATAAATCCAGGGTTTGCTACATGAAGACATCTTCAGTTAGGGTCCCCTATAAAAAGGCATTGTTAAAATAGAGTTATTGTAAATGTCATCTTTTTGAGATGACCAAACTTAAGATAAGTCAAATTATTGTAGGTTTAACAATAGGACTAGGTGTCTCTGTGAAGTCAATATCAGGACGTTGGTAAAACCATTTGGCCATTAGATTCGTTTTATACTTACAACGAATCTATCTTGGTTTCATTTAATTCAAAAAACTCATTTATACCCGATAATATTTTGTGTGGGATGAAAGGGTACAAGGGTCAATGGAGAGTTATAGAGGAGGGCATTATATTCTTCAAACATAGCTTTATGCTAGTATGGAGATTTTTCGGCTTGAGTAATTATGGTAGGTTCACTAGTCTCAAGAGAGGATTTTGTGATAACATGTAGGTCAAGAACTTCACGTGATTTGAAAATACCATTTTTGGAGTGTGTTGTCATCGATGTCCAGAGGTTATAGGTTGTGTTACTGGTATGGGTGGTGGAGAGGCACTAACATTGGTCGGGACAAGTTAAGATACTTTAATGTCATTTGGGTCCATAAGAGGGTAAAGATAGTGGTTGTCTTTCCTAAGGTATTATTTCAGTAATAGGGGAAACTTATGAAGAAGGGAGAGAAGAAGCAATAGAGGGAGTGAGGAGCTGCTAAACCGAGGAAACAAGATAGCACGAATCCTGAGGAAAAGGGCTAGATGATGTTGTAGGAGGCTCATTTGACAGGATTGATGGTATACTCCAGTGATGTATATTTGTTGGAGTAGCTTGCATAATAGGAGACTCATGGTTTTGAAATAGACTCTACAAAAATAACATGACATGTTATAAAGACTTTTGGAGTTTAGGGTTCATGTTCAAGAGAGTATCCTATGAAAATGCAAGGCTTAGATCTTAATGTTATCTTATGTGAGGCATAGGGACATAGCCATGGATAACATAAATAGCCAAATACTTTGAGTATTTGAATGTTCGAGGATTTATAAAATATTTTTTCAAATGGCGATTGGTATTAGAGGATTGGAGTGACGATATGATTAATGAGATAGACGATAGTTTAAAACACTACGGACTAAAATGTTGGTGCCATGGAGGCTTGATGTAGAAGTCTAAGACCAGTTTCAGCTATATGTCAATATTTGCATTTAGCAGAGCCAACTAGTTGAGGAGTATATGGGGGTGACTTAAAGTATTGTATACAACAAGCTGAGAGGCAGGATATTATGACTTAATATTCGCCTCCACCATCAAAGTAAACTGTTTTAATCGTAGACTGAAAGAAATTCTTGACCAACTTTCCAAAATCGGTAAAGATTATTGAAACTTCATATTTATGGTGGAGGAGATATAACCATATATACTTGGTGAAATAGTCTACGAAAATAACATAAAATCTGAACTTATAAAAGGAAGTGATTGGGGCAGGGCCCCACATATCAGTATAAATAATTTCAAATAGTTTAGAGTATGATATAAGGATTTTCTAAAGGTGAGTCTATGACTTTTATTATCAAAACAAGCATCACAATAAGTTATAATGCTACTAGTTTTAAGAGAAGGAAGAGACTAATGATAAAGTAATTTTTGTTAGATAGAGGATGAAGGATGACCAAGATGATGATGCTGTAGGAAAATTTAAGGACGATATCATATGCGCAGCAGAAGAACAAAAAAAATCTCAGATTTTCACAAAAAAAGTTTCATTGTCGTAGGAAGATTGATGTGCAAAAATCACAAAATCAAAAACCCCGCATATGTAAAAGATGTATTTTACTTATGGAGATCATATATCTCTAAAATCCTACAGATCTATGAGAGAGGATGAAGGAGGTTAATTGTCCTCCCCTCTAGCAGTGATCCAACGGTAGGGGCTACGAAGATGCTCCTCGAATCACTGTCCAAATCTTTACACACCTCAAATAAGGGTTGTTGGCTAAGGAGGAGAAGGCCTAACCTATGACACTTTGGTTCCCTCCTATTTATAGAGGCCCCTATCAACTTAACCATAATAGATTCAACCCTATCGGATACTAGATATCTATCTAATTACTAGGCATAGTGTTGTCAGACCTATACGGTTTCTACTCAAGTCTCGCTTTAATCAGATTTTCTCGAAAAACTCTTTCTCTTTCAATCTGAATTATCGTGGTCATGGATTTGTTTAAGTAAGAACATATGATATATTCATCTTATGACACCGAGAGCGAATGATCATTTATCAACACTCAATAGCTTTCGTAAGGTTAGTTGACACTTCTGATAACCGGTTGTACTAGATTTGAAACTTACAGACCTATAAATATGGTATCAAAGTGTGGAGTACTCATATAGGATATTCTTGGTATCTCGAGTCTAAGGACCAGATACACCATTGAAATGACAGAATCACTATCTGACAATGAAGTATCATCAATCATCCATCATTCTTTAAGCATATCAATCAATAAACTCATTCTCTAACGAGAACATGCACTGTATCCCTAGTGTTCCCATATGAGCAATTATGAGACCAATCACCTCTATCATATAGATGGGTATACAATACACTAATATGTTTGATTATCTCGATGTCCCTCTCGAGTAACCTATGACCGAAATTATTTAGAGTGTGTGTTTAAAAGTAAATCGGTCTCATTATCGTGATCTCATCATGATCCAATTCTTATTGCACATATTTATAGACATCACAATATATATATATATATATATATATATATATATATATATATATATATATATAACAAATAATATAAAATAAAAAATATTATTATTATAATAAACAAAAAGAGTATGTACCTTGTTATAAGTGTCATCACTCACGTGATTGATTTACGAGGCACCTACGATCAAATTTAAAATGTTTGAGAAGATAATGGGATTTGTTTCAAAGATGATTGAAGTTGTCTTTTTACTCCAATTTATGGAATTAATCGATTGCTCAACCTTCGTCATATAATATCTAATATGTACTTATCATACCCTTTGAATATAAGTAAATTTGGGATTTTCTAAGATCCATGAATTTTAGTAAAAGACTTCGTTTAGATGACTACATAATTGAATTATTTATAGGATAGGGGGATATCATAGTGGTCCAACCGATTTTAATTTCATCATTTTCATCTTAAGTGGATGCATGATTGACTAAAGATTTTTTTTAATCTTCAATGATGCAAGACTCCTGAAGTTATAAGTGGTTTTTAACCAATATTACTATATAATTAAAATTATAAGATTTTTCCTAGCTGAACTTTTATTCCCCAAATTATCTCCCATGACCGACAACTAACCAAAATATCAAAGACAATATTCTATCAC